ACAGAAAACGAAGAGGAATTTCCTCACCCTGATTATGAAAAGGGGATTGCTTTGATTTCTTCCATGAAAAGAAAAAGTAAATCTGCCAGATTGTGTATATAGGTACCACATTATTATATAAAACAGTTAAAGACCTTGATTTAAATGTTATATTTCATATTTGGCCAATGTCATCGTTTTACCTTTTCTAGTAGGCTACACTCATTCAAAATAGTGGTTGCAGCTCATTTGTATTCTCCAGAGCGTTTGTCTCCCTCTTGACACCCAAAGCTGCCACCCGCCCTGCCGAGTCGGCTGGTCAGCCCAGGCTAATAGCTGCTTTGTGTCTAGGCACAGGAACATAGACACCAGAGCAAAACCTATTCAGGGACTTATCATTCCTTCAATTTATTCTCATCCACTGTGCCTTTTGGGATAAGTAGTGGTTTGTTTAGCAACTGTCTTTTTGATTAAAAAGTGTAAAGATTTATAAATGTCAGTCCAAGCACTCAGAAGAGGAGACGAGGTGGTTTGTTCACCCACACATCAGTCTTCTTTTATGCAGAAATAGGAAGGCTGCACAAATGATGTAATATAAATATAGAGTAGGAATGAGTATGTTGGTTTGTGCAGTAGATCAGTAAGCCTCCTCATCTGGAAGTAGAGATGTAGAGGAGTCCAAGTGAGCTGTGCTAGTAAAAGAGGGAATAACCTCAGTCATCCTTCCTGTACCCACTGAACATTGACATGTGTAATGTGCAGATCATCAGAGCTGACCTCACTGTTCTGTATTTGCACAGGATTTAATGCAATCAGTATAATTAATGTTGGACATGTCTGACAAATCCATGAAGTACCTGCTACCTCACTGTTTGATGTATAACTGAATACTGAAGAACCAAATGAGTACAGAAGGTCCTCAGCAAGAAGAGCAGGATTGCCAGTTTGTTACTAGACTATAAAAATCCTCAGCAAATAAGTTGGTCTACTCATACTGATGCTGCATGATATTGCAACACTAATCATATATCTCCAAAGGCTCAAGAAAAAATACCATAATGCTGTTTGAGGGATATTTCCCAGAAGGACAAGACAAGCTTAGAGAAGTTTTTTCAAGGACTTTACATTTCACAGGACTCCAAATGAAACACTAAAATTGTTTTATGGCAACTTCACAAAGAATTAATTTATCAAAACTATATTTGCAATGCTGGTTTTTTATATGCTTGAAACACCACTTTATTAAAAAGATCCAAAGAACATCAGCCAACCGGAATCCTTCTTCTTGGACCTTTGCTAGTAAAAATTTTCTTATTTGTATGAAAGACTATATTTTCTGAAGCAATACTTGAAAGGTCTTGAAAAGGTTGAATTGGCTCCATTGCTTGGTGATTATTTTGTGGGTTTTCCCCCATTGTATTTCACACCAAGAGAAAGAAAGATATGCTGGCAAATCTGCCTTGAGTGCTTACTTCTCTCTTGTGTAGGGGAGAACCCTAGAGCGATCAATGGTTCTCCTGCTCTGTAAAGTGAGGCCGATGGCAAAGCAGGTACATCACAGACAGACAGACATGGAATGGCACGGAAGACTGCAAAATTTGTAAGTCAGCTTAGTGAACCCCACAAGAAGTACTTGCAAAGGCATACAGATCTAGGGTTATAACCTGCATACCATGATCTGACTATATAAGCATTCTACCAAACAGGATTAAAAGTGGTTATTAGAAAAATATTTTAGCATAACTAGTTGTATTCTACATATATATGTAAAGTTGAAATTTTATTTTTTTTTGTAAGAAAAGATTCCAAACCTGTAAGGCCTTTGTCTCTTTTGACCTAGAATCCAGAGTTGTTAAAAGCATACAGTGTTGAGATAAGAAAAAACCACTAGGTATTAGTGGTTTGGTGGTTTTATATCATTTGTGTACAGCCCTTCTCTGAAATCAGTGGCAGTTTTGTCTCTGACTTCAAAGGAAAACTATCAGACTGATAGAAGAGGTAGGCGGCTGAGATTATTTTCTGACCATCATCAGGTTGTTGCTATTTGCTTTAACTAGTGTACATGTATCTTCTTACAACAAATGAGAAAGCTATTGCAACTGATTAGAGGTACCATACAAAAAATAAATGCATAAACCTGACCCAAACAAATCAGGTAAGTCAATGAATAACTATCTGGAAACACAATTTTGGCAGGAGGCATCCTTTTACCAGGCGCAGAGCAGTTGTACTACTTCATTCATTTCCCAGTTAACAGTAGATACTGTTGAGGTTGGTGGTCATCATCATTCCAGAGTAACCAAATTCAGGTATCAACATACACGCTGATCAGCACTGCTGCAAAACACTTTTTGTGCCAGTGCTGCTTCCTTATACTCTGTCTCCTGTTACAGCGCTAAGGAAGCCTTCTTTCTGTACAATGAAGCAGGCCAGGCTGTAATTTGGGAAGTTTACAAATGTAAATTGTATGTTGGAAACTACTTTTTGTTAGCTAACCCACTTCATAAAAGACCAGAATAAATACAGCTGCAAAAACTCAGGAGCTTCCCTGGTGGGTAAGGTCTGTATCAAGACAGCTAAATTAAATAGGAGAACTCTGAACCAAGCAAATGAGAGTAGCTGAATAATATCAATTAACGTTGGCAGGCTTTAAAAAAAAACCCCACCATTTTTCCCCCCAAAGTTTCAGTCAAAACAATGGCTTTTTCTTGGAAGGGATATTCCATGGGGAAAAAAAAATATTCGTATCACTTAATGTTAAATGTAATCTTTTAACCAACATGTTTATCACTGCCATTATTTGCTATTGTTTATCAATAAAAGAGGTTTTCATTTACTAAAACCCCAAGTAATTAAACCTCAGGAAGAAAATACTGCTTCCAGAAATAAGAACTCATCACAGAAACAAACAAATGAAATAATGCAAACCACAATGCACTCATTTCTAACTATGCATTTTAAGATATCAACAGAAGACGAAGATCCAGCTGGCTGGGGCCCAAAGCGCTGGCAGGGGGAGTAGGAAAAGGAGTTAAAGGGACATGGTTTAAACTAAGGGAAATATTATCTTTCTTTATCCTGTTGCACCTTCCAGTGGATCTGATCACCAAGTACAACGTATTTTTTTGTTCTGCCCTCAGGGGTAGAAGGGGGATGGAGAGAAACGCTCTGACACGATTCCAGCTGAACCCGAATCGCTTGGATGAGGCCAGTGCTCTCCGGTCTCGCCACAACAAGTTCAGGTACTTCAGTTTTTTTCTTTGGAGCTCAGTTTCCACTGCTCGTGAAGTCTCATGGCCGTAGTTCAGAGCATAAGAAAAGCTGCAGCCCTTAGGAATGGAGAACAGAGCTGGGATGGGTGATACCCCACTGCCTCAGTTATGGAGCGAAATTTTCCTGCACCAAAGTGGGACCTTCACAAGCTTTTTCAGGAAACGATAGGGGAAGGCAGGCAGTGTGCTGTAGCTGCAGGATTTCAAACACACAAAAACTCTTCACACAAGCTGTGGTTAAGCAGAGCCAGACACACACAGCTGCACCACATTCCAAAATACACCCCCACCCCCCAATTTGCCTGACTTTAAATAAATGCTGCTTCTTTAAAGCACATTAATTCCCCTGTGTTATATTTTTCAAGTCCTCTAGAGCACAGCTTTGGAGGGAGGACAGGGAGGGAATGGCTCTACCATTTTTATGAAAACATTGTGTAGTGTCTAGCTTGAATTTCCACTGCAAGGCAAAATAAACACTCCCTGGCCTGTTATTTTGGGTCATATGTTGTGCCTTCTGCTACACGGGTGTTTAGATCCCGTTTGGAGTCAGTCAGCAAGGTAAAGTCACAATACAATGGCTATAATCCTGTGCTTGTTGCAGTATCATAGAATGGTTTGGGTCAGACGGGACCTTAAAGATCATCTAGTTCCAACTCCCAGAAATAAATTAAAAGAAAGCATTGCATACAATTCCTACAGCCAAGAAATATCTTTTCTGCCAAATAAGTGGTACAAACCAGGGTTAGCGTAACCTTCCTCTGTACAAAGGAAAGGATTTCTGGGCTGAGCCTAAGACCCGAGCCTGGTCTGAAACAGACCCACACAACATACTCAGATTTATTTCCATTGCTTGTTGCCTGTGAGAGATGACCCGTTTGAAAGCAAGTGGTAAATATGTATGTAAGATTTTCCTTGTGCCATAATAGCATGTTTGATGTATTTAGTTCACTACAATAATATTTTATAAGTCAGTCTGAAAGCAGAGAGTCCCAAGTCTTGGGATTAAACCTTCAACACACATCTTACAAGGTTTTACACTCTACACCATATTGGCTCAGGCTCTGTAATATTATAAAAAGTAGAAAAACCCCACTTTATAAATGCTAACATTTTGTCAGCATTAGAAGTGGTCAGCATCTATAGACTTAAGTTTTAATCACTTTTAAAATTAAAGTTAGGATAACACTTTACTTCTTTCCCTTTGGTAAATTTAGTCTATTGTGTTTTACTGAATCTATTACTAGATACAGAACAAACAAAAGAGGACTTAAGAATTGTAACACTGAGCACTAAACAAAGTACAAGCATCGGCAATAATGGGCTGAGTTAATAACAGTGTGTGTAGTCACCATGTGAGGGAGCACTTAGTGTCAATTTGTCAACTCGTTTTAACTGCAGTTGGCAGTAGCAATTTTCTGCTTTTTTTTCCCTTTTTCTTTCTTCTACCAATCAATAACTGTAAAAAGACCCAGTAGTCAATGCTTTGCAGGTGTTCTTTTGTAACAAGATAATATTAATTAAGTATTTCAATTCCTAATGTCTGTTTATTTCTTTGACTTTCTGCATCAACAATTTCTAATGCCTTCCTTTTGCACACTTTTTACTGCTTTCTAAGCCATTTTTCTTTCTCACTTGACTGCCTCTCTTCTGTCCTTTTCTATGATATGGTAACTTTTCTACTCAATATTCAAACTCAATGTTCACTAAATTTAAGCTGTGAAAAAATGTATATTTTTACCACAGTATTACTTTAGATGGTCAGTCAACGTGTTTATTAGTGCACTCACAGAACTCTGATGTTCTGTTTGATTTCATGCTGCTTTGATTGCAAAATCCGCCTAGAAACTGAGTATAGAGTTTCAGCATACAGCAAAGTATATTTCAGTATACAGCAAAGAGTATATAGGCAGAGGTTGTTTCGATAAGAACTAGGAGGGTACTAAAATATGCTTTAAAAATCACTCACCCACAAATATTGAAAGCAGTAAGCATGTTTACCACAACATTCTCAACATGTTTACTAATCTAGTAAAACACAGCATGGAGTGAGGTGAACACAACCACAAGCAAGGATTTCACCAATACCAGTTGGATTTGGAACAACTCTGCCAGATTTCCAGCTCTAGGATGGAAAAAAGTACCAGCCTAAGAACATATACGGATTTGTGTTTTAAAAAAAAACCCTCATCTTTCATTCTTCATCTACCTCAGCACTTACTGTTTATTCTGTAAAAGGTCCAGGTAACAGAAAAAGAGTCACTGAAAGGACCATCACAAAGGCTTCCAGCAGAACTCTGTTGCCAATAGTTTCAGAGGAGAAGGAAGCAGCACTAGCAGAAGCCTGAGCACCAATGGCACCTCTGACTGACTCAGGGATCAGGTGAAGCAGCTATGAAGGGAACTGCACCTGGCAGTGAATGACTTAAGGATGGTTTATGGTCTGCCTGGCAGGATTAGAGATAATGTGTCTTGTCCACAGCACATCACTTACCTTAAGGGCCACTTCATATACTATTTCCCAATCTTAAACAATAGCAAAATATCTTACTTAACCATCACTCAAGAATGAAATTTGCTAATAGAGTGGCTGCCAGTTGCGCCTTCTTGGGCTGGCCATGCTATAACATGACATTGGGTTGGAGACACAACATCATACCGGGGAACTCCTATGTTCATAGAAAGTGCAACCCAAAGGTTGCTGGAGAGACCAAAAATAATCTGCTTCCACCTCTACCTCTCTCTCTCTATGCCAAAACTACATAGACCCAGCTGACGGTATGTCTATGTTAGCTGTGTGAAATAACTGTAATCAGAAACAAGATCCACCTTAGCAGTTAATTGCTCCCCTGTCATTGCATAAATTATAACATAACTGGCATTTTCCAGCAACCTTTTAATAGCATGTTCTAGTTTTGTCTCATCTTGTCTGTTTCTGATGACACATATCAGGATTGATGTTAAGAAAAAGATTATTTAACAACCTTTGCCTCCCCAGTCTAGCTATTAAAGGCCTTTAAAAAAAAAAAAAAGTATAATTTGAAGATACGTTGGTGGTTTTACAAGTAGAACAAACACATCTCCATACATAGCTCAACTACAAACCCATGCCTATCACATGCCACTATTCTTCCCCTGCTGCAGTAACTGATAATATGCCAAAGACAACTGTCCAGCAGCTTTGACTTCTTAGTTTGTTGTTTTTCTAAGATTAATATTCCTAATCCTTAAATCCTATGACCTTCTACTTTTAATGTCATTCTATCTTAAACAGATGACTCCAATCAACTGCTTCTCAGCACCCCCCTAATCCTATCAATTTTGCCCATTAAATCACTAGATGTATTTCCTTCTATAGACCTGCTCTAGCATTGTCAGCTGGTGACTCCTGGGGATCCTTTTGTCACTGTGACTCATGGAATTATTTCACAGCACACTGATTCTTGCCTTCTCCATCATTTCATTTAGCTGTAAGTTTCTAGCTCTCCTTTGTGTCAGAACTTGTTAAGGGAATGTTTTACCAATTTTAAGACCCCTCCTGCTTAACAAATGAACTACATTCAAAGAGGTGCACAAAGGAGCATAACATTATAAATATCTCAGTTGGTGGGACAAGATTGCTAAGCCAAAACACAGCTTAGTCTTCTTGAAACTCTGAGCAGCAGCATTAGCATCCTAATGCTTTTGAAGTTTTCCTGTTGCCTCAGTGAAGCCTGCTGCCTCCCTTAACCTTAATTTTTACACTACTAAAATCTGAGAAGTAGTATATTGATTTTTTTTTTTTTAAGGACACAAATGCTTGCATTCCTCTTTATTTTGAGATGAAACCTTAAGTAATTTCACAGAGAAAAAAAGAAAATTGTAACGAACTTCTTTACCAACCTAACTCCTGTATTACTCTCAGTATTCCCCACAGCCATCTAATACTGGTTGTGAAATCTCTCAAAGCTTCTGTTAGACATCTCTTTCTCTCTAATAGTCGAGTTGTGTGGTGATGCTGGTAGCCATATCAGGACTTGAGCAGTTTCAAATGTCCTCCTAGTCAGCTATCGCATGCATCTGCAGCTCTGCTCATTTGCCTGGCTCTAGTGACAGCTGGGTAGCTCTGAAATTCAAGCCAGAAGCAAAAGATCCATGAAAATTTATGCCAATTAACAGCAACTGGAGTTAGAACAGTAGACTCTATTGTCACTATTTGCTTCTGGAAACAAGGGGGACAGCATTGGAGCAATCACTTTGGTTCCCTATTAAAATATTTTTGTCATCCTATTCTGAACTGTACATCTATTAGTGAAGACAAGGCCGTAAGTCCTTCCTTCTTGGCTTCTGCTGCACGTGCAAAAGGCGTTCTCCATAGTCTTACACTGCATATTGTACTTGTGGGCCAGCAGGCAGCAAAGAACCAAAAAAAAGTCTGGAAGGAGTGACACTGAATGAAGAAGAGAGGGCATAATGCATATTCAGAACTGTGCAATGAAAACAAATGCACAAGAAATAGGAGCTTGAAAGCTGGTTGGGCACATGCCTTGGCATTTCTGCATAACTGGAAGTTTATTGCACATATGCAGGATGGTGGTACCCCGTCCCTCATGCCTCCCAGTTTATCAAGTCTGGTCAGGCAGCCCTTGCAAGTCTGAAGCCAGACCTGAAAGAATCAAGAAACCATAAGCTATCTGTCCTAATTGCTTGAGCAACAGAGATCCAGGACTGGAGATAAAGGATTAATAAAAAGAGGAAAGGCACTCTACTGGTGAATTTATGTTAATTACAGGCAAGGGAGCTAAGGATACAATTTTCAGGTCACTGCATCTCTGCTATTCCCATGGCTGTAGGGACTTAATCCTCATCTGTCTTGCCAGCACATTGTGTGGGTTAATTGGCATTTCTGCATAAACTATAAGATATGAAGTGTGCTAATAAATTACAGGAGTCCTTAAAAAGTATTAACTGCTTAGAAAATTATTAATGTATGAATAACTTAGTTCTGAAAGTCATACTACATTTAAGCATTCATTTTAAATCACTTCAAATTTCAACAATAAACACCTACAAATCACCCTTTCTGAGAATCAGCAAAAAAGACAGGCCAAAACCTAAGGAAGATTAGCAGTTGGAGGAAAAAAATAATTGCCTTGCCACTCCATTATGCTTCAGGCTCCTAAGACTGGGATTTACTCGGAGGAAAATCTGTGTAAGGCTGGTTTTGAATTCTTTGTCTTCTGATGCCATAACCTGGGGGACAGCAGGCTGCAGCTCACTGGGTGGCCGGGATGGACAGAAATGGTCTCCTGATTGACTTCCACCTGGGGTGGCTGTGAGGGTGCCCGGTGCCCCTGGTAGAGCACCTGGTAAGATGACTTCGGTGTGGGGCTGCCCACTCTGCCATGTCCACCCCGCTACCCCTGGGCTCCAGTAGGACCTGCCTTGTTGCCTCCCACACGAATGGCAGGTACGCCAGCAGGGACAAGGTGTGAGGTGCGGAGGGTCTGCTCGCTTTTGCAACTGATGACAAAAGAGGAATACAGCAATTAGACATAAACAATTAGAGTCACACCCTTCCAAAGAAAACTGCAGACTGCAATGCCACCTGTGCGAACATGCCAGGAGAGAAATGTGCCACAGGGGTGAGCAACAGCTGCAGCCCACGTGCTGCCACCCTGCCCCATGGCTCCGGAAGGCACAGTGGGAGCGTCCCATGGACAACCACTTGGATGAACTCTTGGAGGTGTCATTATATGTGCAAATTCTTTTCTGAGACAGATTCCCCAGGGAGAAGCTGTTTTACTCCAAATGCTTTACATAAATTCATGTAGCAAAGACACAATCTTCTCCTGGGGCATTCCTCCTGGCTTCACGGTAGCAGACAATTTACTAAGGAATGTGCAACATCTACCATATGTCAAAGTTAACCCAAAGGCCAGTTGCCTACAAGTCTGTTACACAAAATTGAGGCCACAATTTAAAAAAAGCTAAACCATCGTCTGTAGGGAGTGTGGTGACCAGGCTGGAAATGAATCCTTGGTATTGCTTAACTGCCTGAAAGTCTGAGTGATCTGGCCCCACCTGTGAGCCAAACTTCACTCTTTGGAAATTTGGCCTCCTTGTGCACATGCTGTGTGGAAACCGGGGTGCTGGAAATAGTCAGCTTTCTGGCATGCAGGAGATTGAGGCAGTGGCACATGCTGGCAGCCAGATCATATCCATCTTGCCAGGCTGAGAACTGGGAGAAAGGGAGACCCCACCGTGAAAAATCTTTCAGCTCACTTGGCAGCTGTTACCCTTATGTACCTTGTGGCTGTGCTTACCCACCGAGACTGCTAGAGAAAGCTTTAACTTAACATGCACTGTTTACTGACACCTTTTCAAACCCTAGTGTAAACCAAGCTGTTAAAAGTTTGCAGTCATGAGCTGGTTAAAATTAACCCTAGCATAAAGCAAGGAGTCTAGCTTGAGAAGCTAACAGGTGATAAACCACAGAGTGTCATTGCAGCAGAACAAAAGCAGTTACTGGGTGATTGTTCACCACTTAAATGCCACATTAGGAATAATTATATCCGGATAAAGTGTATTTGTTTTTAAATAAGTGCTTTGTTTTGAAATACTATTGTAACAAGAGTAATTTGTATTCTGATGTATTTTAATCCGAGACATCCGACACACAAATGGTTTCAAACTACTTCCTTCTACTCCCAGCTAGCCTGTTCCTCACTAGAATGGACTGTCTCAGCATCCTGCCATTGTCCCAAATATAAAGCAATCTGTGGAAAAAGACCCAAAGATACCTCAAAAATTCAAGCACCTGCATCCAGAGGGCACTTCCATTTTACAAGGTTTTGCACAGGCTTGTCCTGACAATTTGGGGCTTCAAGACATTTACAGCACAACAAATACTTCTTTGCTGGAGAACCTCCTGTAATCTTGATGCGTACTGTACCACAGGGCCTGTAGGCGGACAGAGCAGAGGCTCTGGATCAGAGCTGATGATTGCAGGAGGCTGAAGGAACATAGATTGAGTCAGACCTGCTGAGAATCCAGCCCAGAGGTTTCAGGGCAGGTACAGCCTTCATGGGTGGCCTGGGAGGAGGTTCTGCAGCTCTTCCTCTTCTCCTGACACATAGTGCAGGTCATAGCAAGCAGGATTTGAAGGAGAGTTCCAGCCTTGTAAATTCATGTCTGAAATTCATCATCAGACACATGCTGCTTTAGTGTTTTGCATCACTGCAATTAATTGATTGCCAATGCATTTTAGGCAATTAATACATTTGCAAAAGGCAAGGTCAAGAACTTAATATTTTGACGTGCCTTAGAGCCAACCAAGAACTTGGCAGCTGAATCAGACCCAGGATTCCATTCATCTGTCAGCAGTCAGTACAAAGTATTCAGAAGAATATGTAAGACCTCCACAACCACCAGACAAGGAAAACATTGTCTCTTCCATTCTCCCCCTACACATGCTTTAGATTTCTTCCCAATCTAACGGAGATTTTGTGAATCCTCAAAAAGTGTTTTTCAGAGAGATTTGTCCATAGTTACAACTCTTGATGTCAGTTATCCAGTGACACTCTAACACCATTTGTCAGCCTTCATCATTTTCCTCATGCTGGTGAATACAAAGGTTATATTTCATTGTATGTTTCATTTCATTATATGTTTCATGCTTTTGTGAAACATGGTTAGCAAGGCGGCCTAACAACTGGCCGCATAAGTACATGTATCAGTAGAATGAATTCCTTCTTTTTGTTAATTTTGGTTTTCAGATAATTACTTTGGCTTTTATTTCAAATACATTCCACTGGTGTCTCAAACCCAAAGATTAGCAAGCTACTTAAAGGCTTGCACCCATTCAATGCTGTGTCAGAAGAATCCGTAAAAACAGAAAAATCATCACTTGATTAAGGTGTGAGAATCAGAGTGGGGACTAGAACTAATTTGATAGGCAAGAAATAAGAATTCATATTCTTATGTCTGCAAAAGAAACACGGCATGGCCTTGGGCAAATAATTTCATATTGCTGTAGTTCTGCTTCCTCTCCAGCTATTAAACAGGGATAATTTTAGTATGTAGGACAGGAAAAAAATCATGCAAATACAATCATTTCCACAATAAACAGATAGTGTGGTATAGTATTACAAAACTGGCAGAGTCCTTCAAATAATTGTCACCAGGATTCTTGGCAATTTGGTCTGAACTTTGGATCCCATGTGCATCCAAACCATCTCGGTCTGGGCAGAGTTCAGGCACCATTTCTAGCTCAGTCTCTGGCATTTTTGGAGGAGACAGGACCTGGAAGTTCAGCTCTTTTGTGTTCTTAAACCTCTCCTGGGACCTGCCAGGATGGCCTTTAGACTGATTATCAAGCTGCTCAGTAGGTTTGACCCCCTGCAGTATTAGACCCACGTAGTACCTTGTAACCCTCAGTCATACCAGATTCATAGATCATGGGGAATAGCAACCCCCCAGGGTACCTGTTAGAAGCATCATTACATCAAATGAAATTGATTCAAATAAAGCCCACACGCCCCTCCAGAACCACATCCTCTGGTCAATCTTTGCTTACCTTCCTTGTGAGAAAAATCTAGTGATTGTCTTAGATGTGTAAACTCCTGATATTGTGCAGTTAGCAATCAGCTGCTGAGAAGAAATGTACCTCTAAGAATGCATCCTTGTGCAAGCCAGTTATCACCTGCTCTACACCAGCTAAATAAGGGAGCTTTAGCTTCTTACAGCCTAATTTATTACATGTTTGCACATGTTTTAACTGCTCAGACTAAGGGGGAAATAAAAGCAGCTGTGATTCTGAGGACCTCAGTGAACTTGTTTAGTCAGCTGTAGCAATGGGCACCATGAAAGTACTATGGGGGTGGTGCTGGTGGTGTGTATGTGTGTCTCACTTTCCTGTGCTTCTCTTGCATGGTTTTAGGGGAGAAGAGGGAAGATCTGCAGAGATGACTAGAAAGGTGGTATTGCTGAGTCTTCCAGGTGTGCAGCACATTCCTCTCTGCCAGTTGATGCTTGTCAGACCTGACAGAAAACAAAGTGAGTTTGAATCAAAAATAATTCCTTCAGAAGGAGCTCTTTCACGTCCTTACCTTTTTCTTTCTCACAGCCTTCCTACAGCAGCTGCAGGCAATGTAGTTACTGGTGTTGCTGCCAAAAGTCACTCAGAAGCCTAATCATTAGTTTGCAAAACTGATGCTGTTTGACTGTAAGATGTCAAATATTCACCAACAAGCTGCAGCTTGTCTGCAGTGATCAACACCGTGACTTGGAGCACCACTCATGCTGGCCATGGTGTTTAAATGGTACCATTGAATTAAAAAGAAGAATAATGGGATGGCAGTGGGGGAGTTGCTCTTTTTAAGTTTGACCACTCATTCCAGGTTTTTGGAATATGGAAAAGCTGCCTACAGTTTTGACTTCACTAACAGGAAGACAAGTCCTCCTATGAGGAAGCAATGATTTCTATAGTATTATGGAGGTGCTGGATGTATGGAATCAACTGCAAGATAACTACAGCTTGTTGCAAACAACTTTCAAACAGGCAGCCTGCCAGAACCAGCTTCTTTCCAGACACTGATGAGAGCAAGGAAGACTGCCCTTCAATGTGCAGGATGTATCTCTGAAAACTGGACTGCCAAAAACCCAACCCAAATGAAACTTCCATCTGACTGATGATACTTATTTGCACCAGTGGTATACCACAAGCAGGTGAAAATGACTTCAGTGATGATTCTTTATCAGCAACGTGTTGATACCAACTTTATAGCTATGTATATGTCCTGGTTTGAGGTAAAACATAACCGATTTTCTGTTCAGTAATTTTACTTTTTAGCTGGGCCTCTTCTAACTCTGAAATTAACAGCATATTGTTCAGAAACTGTTCACTCTCAGAGTGGTAAGACTTGACCATACCAAGGAATGGTATGCAGATAGGCCCTTGCTTATACTTACTGTTATAACAACCAAGGTCAGCTAACTTCGTTATTTGCCCTGTTGGAGGGTCGAAAGCGGAATGAAGGAGCAGACAGGATGGGTGACCCAAAACTGACCAACAGAGTATTCCATCCCATCTGCATCATGCTCAGTATAAAAGCTGGGGGATCAAAGGGTCAAGTCTCTTTCTTCAGTGGCCAATATCTGAGGAGGACCCTTGACTGCCTTTGACCCTGATCTGAGCACTCCTGACTCCAGATCCAGAATCCAGCTCCTGACTGTCACAACTCCAGTCTGAGACTTCTCCCTGTGCCTGGCTGGTGATGTGGTCGTCATCCTGGGAGCTTGATAGGTTTTGTATATACAGGATACTTTTTTTCCTTTTTAAAAATTATTTTATTCTTCTTATTATTTATTATTTCATTATTTCTTAATATTTTCATTAAAGTAGTTTAGTCTTTTTCTAAACTCATAAATCTCTTTATCTCTTCCTCTCCTCTCTTTGAAGAGGAGGGAGGGAGGGGCCATCTGTCATTCAGATTGGCCAATCCAGCCAAAACCATGATAACGTACTATTTTCTGAGTATCTTAGCAGGACGCAACACTGCCCCTTTGAGACATTTTTAACATGGAAAACCAATTATAGTTGGATTTTCTTTCCTTCACATGCTACAGGACAAATACACTTCAGGTAACTTTTAACATCCCTTCAACTTCTTGTTTGCTCATTTGGTTTGTTTATTTGTATGAAGATGTATTTGTATGCTTTTCATGTGTAATAAAACTGTCTCACGTTTGATCATCATGTTGAAAACTCAAGAACTCCAGAGATACAATACAGATACATTTTTGATTGTCATTAATTTGAAAGAAAATTGTTATTAAAAATTAGATTTGGGTACAAATTGATGAGATGGTATATCAGCCCATATCCCTGCGTTTCCTTGTAATGCTTTATGGTGACCTGGTCAGTTCCTCGTAAGTCACAGTACGGATGATATGTGGGCACTAATAATTTAGGATTCTATTAGCTTTTTTCACCCAACAAAATGTGTTGCAAATATTAATTAGGTCTCACTCTACCTCTTTAGGATAGCTCAGTACTATGAAATCAATTCCAATGTACCATAGAAGATGTTAATAAAGAAGTATCTTCAGCTTTTACTGTTTTATTATTTTGTTGTAACCATCAGTTAGCGTTTCCTCTCTGAAATATTCATGCACTGACAAGCATTCACTTATACACCAAGGTGAAAACAGACTTTGAGATTAAAACTGAATAGTCAACCTTGAATACTTGAGGCACACACCTCCATATTTTCTGATGTGCTAATTTATTCTATTTATTGACAGGTTCTTACAAATATATTTTATTGACCACGTTACAATGCATATTCAGGGTCCTTTGAAAATGCACATTACTGACAATCTAATTCAATAGCTCATGTGCTTTATTACATATATCTATCTTTTTCAAGAGCTAGGCAGAATATCTATGCTCTCATGGCTGAATATAAACATTCTTTTGGAGCTGACACGGGCTCTTTCATTTACAACCAATTAGAAATGCTGGACTGCCATATTGGTCATACAGTTCATGTATAAATATGTACCATGGACACCTGTGTTAATTCATGTGTGTGCTAAAAGCTCTATTATCCTGATGATAGAAACCTCTTGCCATCTTCAATAGAGGCAAGATTGAGCCTTATTATCTATTTGTTAAAAACCTAATGGTTTTAGCCGAATACTTATCTGAGTAAGAGCTTGAACTAAATGTCATTTGGGTCAAATGAAAAAATCTCCCACTAACTTGAATGTTCAAGGTTACTATGTCCTTGGCAAAGTGCTATTAAAGGGAAATTACTCTTTTTTCCCAAGTATAAAATAAGCTCATTCATCTCAATGTAGTACAAATCTGTATAATATATATAATACAATATATATAATATGTATAATATATATAATATAATATATATATGCTATATTATATATTATAGCCTGAAAACTTTTGATTTGAAAATCACTTAACATAATGTTGGGAAATTCTCTGTATTCTCTTTTTTGTGGCATTGCAATATTTGATCTGTATTGAATGTTTAGTACTTTTAATTGGGATCTAATTTCACCAGGATAGATCCTAATCCAGATATTAAATGTTTTTACTGGTGGGAAGGGCTAGCAAAAACACAGAAATATGAATGGTTCTGGCTCATAGCTGTGGGTGAGTTCCGCTTGTGTCTATCCTGTTGATTTAGCTTCCACAATGAGTACCTTCTGAGAAGGTGCTGAGAAGCCCACCTGCACATGGAAGGGGAACTTACACATTGTTATGAGCAGCTTGTTATCCTGAAGGAACAGCATATTCCAGCATAATTGAGACGGAACCTTCAACATGACTTGTTTGACTTCACCCATTTATAAAAAGTTGTGGGGAGATTTCCTATTCTTTTCACATTCAAACCTTTGAAATTACTGCTTGCCAGGTCTGACTTAAGGTCAGCAGCATTACTTGCATTTGGCCATCCATCTAGAATGTCTGTGTTTATCTTAGTCTCTTTCTAGTGAATATTTTTTGAGCACAGCAGGTACCAAACCTCACTCTCCCTCCCAACAAGTGTTGTCTTCATACAGGAGGACTTGATGACTTAGATCTGGAAGGCTGAAGTACACAGGAAGTTACAGCTGCATTTGCACAGACTTTTCCTGGGAGCTGGCATTTTCTGGCCACCTTAGGAACAGAGGGTGAGGGATCAGCTAGCTTCCTTCCATGTTGTAGCGTAAAGGACTAAGACATCTTGCATCCCTCTGTTTCTTTTCATGGAAATGAAGACACAATAGAGCATTGATTACTTTCTGTAATAGATGCATTTTCTAATACAGAAATATTTTCTTGCCAAGACACATAATTTGACTTTTTCATAACTATTGTTGTAATCTTACTGAGACAAACTGCTATATAACATCAACTTTGCACAATAGAATCAACAGGAGGGGCAGACAGGTGGCCAGTTTTGTTTATTTAGCTGCTGATGTGCTGCTGTTATCACTAATCAAGAATTAGTTGTCTCTTCATTTCTTGGTGCCACTGGACAATTTGGAAAGTCACCACTTATATACCAAGACATACAGAATGCCTGGCAAACGTAGGCAAGAAAGCAGATTTAACTTCTCTTGCCCAGAGCAGAGTTTTGAAAACAAGGTGGGAATGAGATGAGAGGGCAGATGATCACAGCCTGGGCTGCTAAGAACTAGCAAGAGAAGATGCTAAATCATTTTTAGTGAAGTGTACTTTTACATCTCACTGGAAAGTTTCATGGAGAACTGTACTTCACTAAATTAATAACCAAAACTACACAACAAGTAAATAACAGTCCTACAACTTATGTGCTGTGTTAGGTACAGTTTTACATCACATGCTGTAGAAGAGGAGTTCTTGCAAATAATTCTTTACATAATATTAAGTAGAATTTGGAACTCTACCGCAAAACACTGAATGCTGCTTTTACCTGAATTTACTCACTGTGAACTCTGTTCTCAGCTATAGTTTGGAGACAAGATGGAACCTCCAATTCCTTAAAAAATAATTAAAAATTCCTCAAGAAAACTGCATTCTGATATATACTCTCTTGTTTTTCTGTTCTGTTCTTGTTTTCTCTGTTCCTCTATACAGACTTGGCATTGGTTCAAGTTGTTGTCTCAAACCTGGGGGACCTCAGTGACAGCATTTTCTGCAGTCCTTCTGTCTTTACATGGTTATTAGCCAACATTTTCTGAACTAGGATGACCTTTTCTATTGGTATTGAGATGTATAAAGTGGATAATCATAGCAGAGGGAGACAGAAAAAATCTATTTGAGCAAGTCCACTCTCCTTTAACAACAGACTGCAGTCCCAGTGATGGATGTATAAGATCAAATTGTCACTACAATTTGATTTTGCCAGGCATCTGCAAAAATTACCTACTTGTGTAAGGGAGAACTTCAAGTGTGGGAAGGGGAGTAACAGCGATCTCTCAAAAAAGAATCAGCTCTCTTAAAATTGTTTTGTCTTGTGGATGTTTTCATCCTTCCCTGAAAGAGTAAAAATATTTTAATTATTATTAATTATTAGTGGAACTGCTGTGGTTCTGTGTCTCTGTATAGCCACCATAATAAGTACCCAATCAAGAGCAGGAAAGCAAAATAAGAGATAGAAATGACAGCTAATCAGGGCATAGACAATTAAGAATCCAGTAGCACCACTTAATTTTTCTAGGCTGGTTGATCGCTTTTCACTACGAGGGAAGAGAAAAATTTTGACCTTTTAAATTCGAGTGATGTTTTCTAAGAAGAGCAAAAGCTCACTTAATCTGTGAATTCATTACCAGAGACATAAAGGTTGATCAAAACATAGAAAAGGAGGACATCCGAGACAGGGTGGAAAAGCATACCACTGTCTCCTTGGCATGTTACTGTGGATCAAATAGGACCAAATCAGCTAAAACAATAGAAGTATACAGCCAAAAGCTTGCCCGAGCAATCACATGGTTAATGATATTAACTGCCAGCAAATAAGTGATTTGCAGTATGTGATGGCTGCAACAGCTGGTGAACTGCCTGCTATTATATAATGCAAAAAAAATATTTATTGTATTTATTGAATCATTATTATGATCATGCATTAAAAAAATCTGTTATGTTTTGCACATAGGAACTCTTGTGATACGGTATCCTATCCATTGCTCTGTAAGAACTGATATTTTGCCAGCATCCAAATAAGAGGTCTTACTGATTTTAGATTTGTCTCAAACACTTTTGTGCTACTATTTCTTTGAGACCACTGCTTTTAACTGCATAAAGCCGTTATCTGAACATAGACTTGGGAATAATTCTTCAGCTCCGGTCTCAGCATTAACTCTGTAAATGTTATCACTTTATTTTTAGTCAAAGCCTAAAGAACTCACTGAAGAAAAAAAGTATTCCGCAAGGGTTGTAATTCAAGTATGACAGGGCTTCTGAACTGCTGGAATAGGGTTAGTAGAATACCGGAAGGAGTGTTAGTGCGTTTGGCAGAAAAAGACCAATTCAGTAAGGGATACTGAAATGCAATCTGAAAGTACTTCAATAGTCAAGAGTAGATGATTCTTCTCTTCCTTACATATAGAAGCTTACATATAGCAGCTATAGAAGTTTGTTAAAATTGCAGTGCTTATGAAAAGTACTATAGTATATCTGATCACCAAAGAGACTGAAGCATCCTTTTTTCAATCCAATTTTGTGGAAAAATCAGGAGAGGTGACTGCCCTACTGCCTCTTTCTTTGTGTGCCTTAGCCACTGTGTCATTGTGCCTCCCTAAATTACCTCTGCAATTTCAACAACAAAATGTAAAGTTCATATGTAAGATTGCTTTACTGGATACTTTTATCCACAAAATATAAATATTGCATACTTAGAAATGTAATTTAATGCATCAAGTTCATACAAGCAATTATCTCTCCAGAACCACAGGAAAAGGTTCAGGAAAAATGACAGAGATCAACCCTTACATATCTTGATTGCCCAGAGGAACGGAGGAGGGAGGAACTACCTGGTTGAGTTCCCAGGAGGTTCCTCTCCATTGCTGTGGAGGTCAGGCAGGTGACAGCCATCAGAATGTTACCCTCAGTCTTCCTCTAAGGAATCAGTTGATTAGCTCCCAATGGTTTGATTTTCATTGCAGAGGTAAAATAAGCATTGGTCTTAAAAGTAATCTGGAGCCTTGGATTAGTCTGGGCGAAGAATAGCTGAAAAAGAATGTTGTAGATTTCAGGTGATATAATCCATATAATGGTAGATTTCAGGTGAGAAGAGCATCTGACGACATTTGGCATCTGAACCAAAGATGACTAGACTGGAGTTTGGAAGGGGTTTGAAGAGGCTGGGGAGATACAAATACCTAATCAGCAAGTTGGGGAAAGGGCAGCAGGAATCAAGTCTCAGGATTTTAATGCAAAAATAAAACACGGAAAGCTTGGCTGTCACTGTACAGAAGATGAAGAGGTTAGAAACGTGCAACTAGAATTATTAATTCAGTTAGAGAGCATTATTCTATTACCTGGGTGTTAAGAAGGGGAAATACGCTACTGCTGAAGAAGGCACATGTGCATCTTGTGTAAGAACCTCATTCTGTTATTATGCTTTGATCTGGTGTGATGCTAACTGCATTTTTAAAAAAAACTGTGTTATGCAGTGCAGTATCCGTACCCAGGACTACTTTTTGTCTTCCCAAATAAGGCCAGTGCTGGTCAGGAATAAAAGAATTAGTTCAGGACGTGAGCCAGAACCAGGGATTTCCTCAGCAAATTCCTGGGACATCCCACCCCCAAAAATTGTATTCCAAAGCCAAAATGCAGACAAATGGCAAGAGACAGGTTTTAGATAACCTTGGTAGAAGTTACAATGATGCTGATTAAAATAAATACATGCCTTCAACTCTAGTTTTTGAAAATTATTTTCATTTTCTCTTCTTTCTCTCACTCTCTCCACGACTGGAGTCATAATAATGATGATTAGAACAGAAAATTAAGTCTTTTTTTCTTTTTAAATTTAATGGCAGTCACTTAGGTTGCCATAATGACATAGCAGAGAGATGACCTGATTGATTCTAAGATTTGTGGCATATGATAACTATGTCAAGGCACTTATTACAGTAAAAGCCATAAACAGACTTAAAACATAGATCACAAAGAAAAACTCGGGATGTAATTTTCAGAGTTAGTATTTTGTTAAAGGTTGCTACTTTGTTCTCAGCTCCTGTTTCAATAGTTTGTCACTTCAGGCATTACATGGTCCACAACTTCTGCTTTCTGACAGAGGATTTTAAGTCACTTCATAATGAAATAGATAGACATTTCAGCTCCATCATCCTAATTTAATTAGTTGCTTTGCCATGGCACTGTTGGTACAATCAGAGAACATCACAGCCCTGCTCTGTTCAGTAGCCCCAGGCTGGAAGACGTTCCTGCTGGCGGCAGTGCCTGGTGCAGCACTGACAACCCTCTCTCAGAGACTGAACAAGCTGCCTCTAGGCAAGGGCATTCAGTGGGAGCAAAATCCAGCCTCCTCATGCCCTGAGCAGTAGCTCCCATGATGGCTGGTGTATCTCAGCAAGCATACCATAGACAGTGGTAATGGAAGGGCATTCACCTTTGTGGATCTGTTTTATATTTGTCTCAATTGCCTGTGCCTCAGTTTGCCCCTTCCCCACAAAGGCAGGAAGAGTGGGCTCTTCTGGGAAGACATGGGTCTCTGTTCTCCAGTCCTGTGGGCTCTGGGAAGTGTTTGAAATCTGTAGACTCTGGACTGGGGTATCTTTTTGAAGGGAAAATCAAAGCATTAGAAATAGTTTAAACAAATCACTCTTCATGCCAAATACTGTACCTGAAGAAAGATAAACTGTAGAAGGATTTATCTTTTCGGTATGGCAGCATGAGAGTGGGGTGGATTTTTTTACACTTCCAAAGAGCTGTGCAAAACAACTATCTAATCCTCCAAAGCGAATGTTAGGAACAGAAGGTGATAGGGTAATTCCAGTAACTTGCAACTTCTCTGAGTGCCTTCACATTAGCGATCCATCTGGTTTTGCAGTTCTCTTACAAGGAACTTTGTTTACTGCACTGTGTAACAACCAAATTATGTTGCACATTCATTACGCATGCATATGTACACCAGGGAATAAAGCTGGTGGGAATGAATACACTCAAAACTTCCTTGAACGAGTAAATCTTCAGTGATTCTCTCTCCCTCTGTTCTCCCCTTCTCTCCATTTGAATACAGACTTTTCTAAGACAACACTTCTGAGACAGCACTCATTCTGCTGTTAATCTTGAACTTTTTTAATGACAAGGAAAAGACGCAGGAAGATGGCTTAAAAAACAAGTAACATGATAAGAATAGGATAGAGAGTATAAATGACATCAGCAGTGGAGAGAATATGCGTTGGGGGAAAGATGACATTGACACGCAATTTCTGGCTGCCCTTCCCATCTCACCTGGTCATGCTCCAGAGGGAGGAAGAGCCAGGTATGGCTGTCAGCTGTTTGGATCCCTGTGTGTGATGAATATTTCGAAAAAATGCACTATAATAACATAAACGACCACTGAATTTTTCAGTTTGATCATCATTAAGCACAACAACATAACTAGTACAAAATGTTAACCTGCATCAGTTTCTCTTCAAATACTACAACACTTATGAGGCCCTGGTCCTAAACTTCAGAGCTCTGCTAGATGTGACAGACCCATGTCAAGGAGCACTGCTTCTCCTTTGACTACGGGTCACACCAGCAGCCCCAATCCTTTGCAAAGCTGAATTCCCAATGGACAAAATTGTGTTAAAGCCATAGGACTGCCGGGACCCTGAGTCCACCACCAGGCAATGTCCCCTTGCAGAGGTTTTGCTGCCTGTGCTCAAGGCCTGCTCTGACACAGCATGGCTTGGTGACCAGGACCAGCCTGTTGTGAAGAGCTGTGAGACGCCTCCCCTGGGGCCTCTGGTCCCTGACTTAGAGCCTGCACCTCATCTCAAGCCCATGCCCAAGCTGCAGCTCTGTCTGTGTCAGGCTCATTCCTTCCCCATCCTGACCCTGCCTTGTGCCCTGGACTTCCTGACTCAACCTTCGGTCTACCTTGTCCCTACAGACTCTCCTGGCAGTCATGGGACTGTCACCAACCCTGGCTGCCATCCCTGGGCCTGTCCCCTCGCCTGGCAGGGGTCCTGCCCCACTGTTCCCTGCTCATTGTGGCCTCTGGCCCTGCTGCTTCACTGGCACCCATGGCTCCCGGCTCACCTGCCCTTACAGGGCAGCTCAGCCCTCGCCGCTCCCTCATAGACACAGCTTGTAGACAGTCACCTTCCAGAAAGCTCCAAGTCTGGGAATCCTGCCAATGCTAAAACCAAATACAAGACGTATTCTCCCTTGCACGCACCTAACTGCTTGTGTGCTCACTCCCCTGGCCCAGAAATAGCCTGTGGGGAAAAGTAATCAAGGTATATGGAAGAGTAAGGAGTGGTATCATAAAGCTTTGGTGGGATAAAGATGAGAGATCACATCTACTATAAAGTACCAGTACTGCCGGAGAGAATAAATGAGTACTTGAACACATGGACTTTCTTCAGTCCTGGAATAGAGTTACTAAACCTCTAGGCAAAATACAGGTAGGTGAGCAACTATGTGGAGCTTAAACCCCTTAAACAAGTTGAGGGAAAAGGGTCATTGACACATGAGAGGCACGGACGCCTCCTGACAGCAAGGAGGGAAGCAGAAAAGTTGTAAAGGCTGTAGAGAGTCAGCAGCTCTGAACAACAGCAGGCACGGTATGGCAAAATTTATCTGTACTGAATTTATGATTTTAATAGGTAGTAAAATTATGTTTTCCTCTTCCTAGACTCATCTCTGGAAAGCACCCTGGGATGAGACTGAGAGGCCAGAGCAGCAGTGGCTGTCCCTAAAAACATTCTCCTGTCCTTGGCAGCTATCTTCAGTTCTGACCTGCACCCGTCTCCAGGCTTGCTGCTTCTGCTTCAGAACTGAAGAAGCTGTGACCTAAAAACCTGTCTTTCTTCTTCATCTCCCCAACACTATCAATTAGAATGGTAAGAGATCACTCCCTCCCACAACCTTGTTTCTGTGAGTATAAAGATATATATAAGCTATACTCTAACAGAACCTCTCTGACTCTGAGTAAGTAGAAGTCGCAGAAGGATGTACACATCCACCTGCTAAAAATAATTCAAGCTTCTGCAGATTGCTTAGATAGTTGAACTTATAAGCAAAGACAAGGCAAGAATGGGAATTAAAAATTAACCTACGAATCTAGAAACTGACAGTCTGCAGGTGAGATTGGTCCCTTTGCCTCTGATTACAGAGTGTACCTGGCCCTCTCACCTGGCTGAGTGAGTGGCAGCTGCTTTGGAATCAGTTCATTGTCTCCTTGCAGTTTGGGGCTGCTGCTAAATGATGCTCAGTAGCATTGTCTACTGAGAGACTGAAGATTGATGGAGTGGTAGAGCCTGAGACCGTGTTGACTCTGCAGCCAGAGGAAGCCTGTCTGTCTGCCTGCAGTATTACTCTTCTTCCATTAAGCAAGTGGTTCTAGCATCCAGGCTAGCCAGCTTGGCAACTTTCAGGGGCACAAGGTTAAAAATACTCTAAAACTTGAGAAAACACAGGCTCTTTCTGTTATAAAATCTCTCATTTGAAAGTAATGGTTCTTTGGATTTGTCTGGCTTGGCTCTAAGAATGATATGAACTTATAATTCATCAAGAGAGTGGAAATGTCACCTGAGCCTTGCTGAGGAATATGAGATCAGCACTAATGTGAATCAATACAGGTTACTTCCCTGATTCATAAAGCACGTGTCAGGTTGCAACTCCCCTGGCTGAAGGCAGTCTGCCTGATATATTTATCTAGTACTTGAATCAGTGCCCAGCTTTGCAGAATACAAGATTTCCATTTAAAAGTAGTAGTGAGTTTTGAACCCTGAGGCTTGTTCAGAGATCTCACATTGTCACTGAGACTCATAGGTGCTTAAATATGGTTGGATACATGCCCTAAGAAAACAGTCCTAATGGTGATGGTGAGTGAGCAGCACTATTTCCAGCTCAGGGGTCCATCACAGTCAGCAGGGGCAGTTTCCTGAAGGCTCTCATCATTCATATGCTGATGCTTCACTTGTACTGATGCCAGTGATCCTTAGACACTAGGGCTGAGTCCTGCACCTCTTGTGAGTCACCTTTATGTGCTCTGAAAATATACCTGGCAAATGTTTTTTCTTTAAAAAAAATAAATCTGAAATACTCATCATTTGGGGGCAAAAAACATTTGAACTGATTTTCTTCCCCCTGCTTTTTGACTAGTTCATATACCAGTGCTTCACAGAAGTTACACAGTTGGATAAATACTTTGCTAGAATCTCTAAGCAGCTTTGAAGAGGACTAGTACTATCTGCAGTGCAAATGCTAATTTAAGCAAACAAAACCAAACCTATTTTATTCATATTGCGGGAAAATCTTGCGTAAGCCTAGAGTAGATAATTTACTTTACAGCCCAGAATCTAAAGCACTAATTGAAAGCATAAGTCTTTATTATTTGATTTAATAAATTTGGCAGACAAGATCTGAATCTAAAAAGTAAACATCTTCTCTAGATTCCCTCTCTGTCTCTGTACATGTGCTGTTGCTTAATTGTTCAATACAGCACTCATACAGTGAACTCTATCAGAGAATATCAACAAATGCATACACAATTAGTATGGTTTTTTGCTTCATTAAAAATAGTAGCACTTTACTGCGGCAGAAGAAATATATCTTGCAAATGTTATAACTCCTACATAATTTGAGTTCACATATTACACTGTTTCAAGCAGCAAAAAATACTCTTATCTAACTTCAGAAGTACAACAGAGGGACAACATAAACTTGTCCCTTTAAGGGAGAGGCAACAAAAAGCCCTTTATGTATTGTCACTTGCTGGAAGCCTTGGGAGAATTAACAAAAAAGAACTGCTACTTTATTCCTTGTCTGACAAAGCAGCAGAGGAAATATTCATTTCCTTTCCCATTATTAAAGGCTACCATGTTTCTGCCTATTAAAGAAAAGCTATCAGATGTAAATGCAAGTACAAAACCTGTTTGGTCTTCATTAACCATGGTATGAACAGATTTTTGGAATACATTCAGATATCTGCTTGCTAAAAGGTTGTAGCAGAGAAAGGAGTTCCTGCCCTTCAGTGGGAGGTGCTGCAAGTGAACACAGGAAAGTTCTTAGCCAATTTTAGTGCTTCAACTTTCTTTCTGGACAAGAGTAAAAAATATATGGGCATTTTAAAATTTTCCAGGTGATAAATGGAGCTCACTGTGATGGCTTACAACTTAAAAATGACAGTGATTTTCAGTTGAAATATCACTGCCACTGTTGATACGGAAAATTCATTTTTTCTGCTTGTTTTATATCAGGGGATTTGGTGGTCTTGCTTCAGTTCTGCAGCAAACGATCACCCTTACATCACATTCTGTACGTGCCTCGTCTCCCTCCTGTCTTGGGGTTGGTTAAGGTGCCGTATGTTCCTTTCTCTGTCTCTGGCTGGGGATGACCTTATCTGTCATCTTTGATATCTGTGATGACTTATTTCAATTTTTGTCTTTTTTCTAAGAGGCATTAATTCCTAGGTACTCACCGCCTTTGTTATTTGAGGTTTTCTATTTCTTTTTATGTTTGCACATCCCATATTTTCTTCTGCCTCCAGCTACTTCCATTATTAGTATTCTAGTTTCGAGTTTTCTGTCAAAAACACCTGCAGGTTACCAACAATGATCCATTATTAGAACTGTTAAATTGTACTTTGCACTATTAAATAACAGGATATGGCATCAATGAAGCTGAATCTGAGACTGTTCCACTACAACCCCTTTCAGTATGGATGGTATTACTTCAAAATTACTCTCACCTGTGCCACTGAACTAAGGGAGTAAGATAACCAACTTTACTGTGACCTGCTCAAACTTGTGCCATGTAAACTGCAACCTAGAATATTTATCTAGCTGAACAAGTCTGACTTTGTCAATCAAACGCTTAGCTGACATACTCCTTTAGCGCATCTGTTCCAGCAAACTGAGAATATTAAATTATATATTTTTGCCGTCAACATGAACAAGTCTATGGAAGATTTTACCTGTGCCCTTCTGTTTTGTTACCAGGACATACTCTTTTGTCTCCCCTGGAGTTGTGTCTGTAGCATATCACAAGCCTCCACAGTTAATCCGATATCACAGAAGCTACAATAATGCCTACATAAAATTTCACTAACTCTTTTGGTTGCTTTTAAAATCCACACGTAGCCTACAATTTTAAATACATTTTTCTCTAACATCTTAAAGATCAGCGCTCTGCTGTCCTTTAAAAAAAGAAGTTGACATAGGGGTAAGATCTTCCTCCGAAATCAGTAAGTGGAGCTGGGCTCCTCCTGTCACAACCTGTGCTAATGGCATTAACTTCGCAAGCTCTGCTCTTCACATATGTTTTTGGCAATCACATCCACGTTTTGTTCAAATCAATCATCTGGGGTTTTGATCTACTCTTATTTATCTGCCTGCCTTTCACTTTTGTTCACTCATGGAAGCAAAGGTTTTCATGGCATTTCTTTGTTTTCTGTATGTTAGGTATTGCCCTCTTTTGTGCTGCTGCTGTTAGAACCACCTGCAGGTCTTCCTGGATTTTGAGCTCTGCCACTTTTCTCCCCTCAGGACTGTGCTGGTTCTCAGTCCCATGTGGAACATTTGGGTGTTTTCCACCCTCTGCAGATTTCTTCCTGCAATAGACAACTGGTTGTCTCAGCATGTGAACAGTTTAGCCTAATTTTGGAGTACTGAAAGACTGGGAGTGAAGTTTTTGTTCAAAAATTCCATCCACAATCCAATCCACTGTAGGAAACTAAAGTAAGTTCCTAAAGGCACACAGCTGAGACAGGCTGCATATTCCCTTATAGTCCCACTTTCTTTGGTTAAAAGACATCACATTCATACATTTCAGATATATGTGTAGTGCATTGCTCAAGTCTTTGTAATACAAATTTGAAGCAAACTTATTCCAAGCAGTGTCTGACGTGCATGATGTGTTAAAGAGATTTTAGTTACTATAGGAAATGCGGTGATACTCCAAGAGGTCTTTTTTCACTGACACTGCATATTCAGATGAAAGCTGTGTTTAAGTATCTTCCTGTTGTCTTTTGCACTGTTGGATATTGAGTTGTCTCAGAGCTTCTAGCTGCCCTGTTTTCCCCATCAAATACTATTCTTGCCTTTTGGTTGTTACCCAGCAATATTCACCCTGGGCCCTACACATCCCAGAGTGTGCTGTGCCTGCTCCCCTTGCTCGTAGCATCCTCTTCCCATACAGCTCTCTCTGGTGCCACTCAAAGATCACATCCCAGAACTACACCACTGCAGCTGACGCTTTGTGTAAGTGGTACGACCTATATCAGTGAGTACTTCCACACCAGCACCATGCCACGTGTTGGTGTCATCACTGGGAAGAAAAAGCTGTGCCTACGCTAGGACTTGTTTACCAACAGAGAGAAAACTGCATCTTACTGGCACCATTTCCAAACATGTTTTTCCTGCAAATTGACAAAATTAGACTTTTATATTAGTCCAATAAGCACCTTTACATAAGCATATCAAATAGAACTAGTCAAAGTGTGGTTTCTGCTGCTATAACAAGTTTTGTAGGTGCAATCATACTGGCCGGAGTACTGGGTCGGAGTGACTTTGATCCCTGTATGTGGAGAGAACGCATTACAGGCTAGAACAGCAAAACCTGCTTTTACCAGGGTATCCCACTTTTGGGCACAGTTGATTCTATTATTGGTAATGACTTAGGAGTGCTTTCTTAGCATGTTATACATAGTGGTATATACTAAATGTAGGGCTTTTATGGGTACAGCATGATGTCTGCTGGGGGGTGTGGGATGTTGTTTGTGTTAATTATATGCCAGTAAAACTTAAAAACAGGTTGTGTCTAAACTGCCTAATTTCTGTTTCTTGCCTATTAAAAGCACAGCATTGATAAGTTTAGGTTTCTGTCATTTATGGATAAATATTTACAAAAATCATAAAAAACAATAAGGAATGCATTAGAAAAGAAAGCCTCCTTTTCTTCAATTACGCAAATGGTGCAAAACCCAAAGCAATTGTTAAAGGTCTTTTAAAGAAGACTAAAATATAAATATTTGAGTCAACAAATGTTTTTTTAAATAGTGTGAGCATGCAAGGAAACTATTACTGTATGGTTTAGCTTTTCTTATAGATAAGAGAGAAAGGAATTATAGAGTGTTTAGGAATTTTAAAGCACCTCATTGTTATGAGGAAGAGATATTTTTCCTTTAGATTGGAGTTCTATTTTTAATGCCTTAACTGGCATTTTAATCTTCCTAGAGTGAAGACTACTCACTTGTTACTGGATTTTTGTTTCAGACATTATTCCATAGCTTGTCTTGGTACCAGGAACCATTGTGAACTTTACTTGATAAATAGGAAAGGATGGTAACTTCTGACCTTTCCCCTTTGCGTAGATTGCCATGTTTCAGCACTTTATTGAAGTAGAGGGAATTAGAGCAATAGGCAGTTTTCTAAAACTATGCGGACAGCACTTTTGCTCTGCCTTGTGACTCTGGAAGTTAATGATGGTATGGCAAGCACTCCCAGCAAGAGAAACATTCAGACTTCGTGGTGCTATGTCTGTGTTGCCAGGGCTCTGAGCACACCAACTGCATTTGCAAACTCTTTTCCTACTCCTAGGGGTTTCACTCTCTGTACTCAAGGCCATCTTGGACATGGTCCTGCTCTGTAACCTTGAATCAGGGTGCTGTGACAACAACCAAGGTCCAAGTAAGAGCTGTAAGAAGCCTTGCCTCGGTCCTCTGCTATGTTCAAGTTCAGGCCCTTGCCTGTGGTCCTTGCCTGAGCTACGCTGCAGCTATGCTCGCTCCTTGCCTGAGCCTACTACTCTATAGTAGGTGCCTTGCTGACTGAGCTTCCTAACTCCTGCCCTGTCCCCGTAGACTCGCCTGGCAGTCACTGAACTGTCACCGACTCTGGCTGCCATCCCTGGTCCTGTTCCTTCGCCTGGCTGGGGTCCTGCCAGACGCCCCTGGTGCAGCCACTGGCCCTGCTGCCTCGCTGGCACCTACAGTTCCTGACTTGCCTGCCCTCGCAGGGCAGCCCAGCCCTTGCTGCTCCCTGACATGGCTTGCTCCAGCAGGAGCTCTTCATTAAACAGCTTTCTTCCTCAAGAGTGACCTAGGTTGAGGAGCTCTGCCAATGCTGTGAAAGCAGAGCAAGCTGCCCTGAGAGATCGGAGCCTGAGCTTTTTATAATGCTCAAGATGGACTGGGAATCTTGTTGAGTTACTTGAGGAGAAATTCAGCCAGCAGCTCTGGACAGTTTAATTTCTCATTTGCAAATCATAATGCCGGAAAGAAAGCATAAAATACGAGCAAGGTTTATTTTGTTTTTAACTGCTGTTTTGATTTCCCAGAAAGTGCTGCCCATCAGACTCCAGGTTTTCTATCAGAAAAAAACCTGGAAATTTTAAATGTCATCACAATTTTTTGTTTAATGGTTGGTTTTCATGTAAAGGCACACTTATGGCATTTAGATTACAAAATTATTTCAGCTTACATCCCCCAAACCAAAAGGAGAACATTTTAAAGTGTTTCAATCCCAAGAACTCAAGCACTTTATAAACATTGCTGAATTAAATTTGCAGTTTTCCAGTAAAGTATGAACTGTTCCTTCCTCAATCCTATAAACAGAAACGAGGAAAGGCTAAGGTCATTTACTCAAATGATGAATAGCCTTTTATAATTAAAGCATTTTTTTGGACTTAGTGTCATTTCATGACCATGTAACAAATCTAAAACTGTGCTCCTGCTTAAATAGTGGCACATCCCATTCTCTGCTATTGACCACACTTTTCTCATGTCTCTCCTGTTTATCACTTGTTTGGCTGCCTGGTGAAATAGCTAATGTTTTCAGCTGAACAAAACCAGAAATTAGCTGTCAACCAGATTATGCCCCTGATCTTGCAGTGAGGCTGTGTGAAACCCCATCCTTAGAAAATATGTATTATATTCCCAGTATTGCTACATGTATGACCTTTAGTAAATCCCTTACACTTTCTCTGTTTCCAGTTGTGAAATTGAGATAATTATATTCCCCGGCCTTTTGGTATGTGAAGATTAATTTATTAATATACATGAGATGTTCATATCGTACAGTGATGCAAGCCATGAAAGTTCCTAGATCAACTCTTTTATATGTTTGAATTTTATCCACTCACAACTACAGAGCCCCAGTAAACCAGACACCTCCACAACATCCAAATGATACTAAACTGGACTTCAAAAGCAACAATAATCTTTAGTCCATTGTCATCTTCATGGTGACTGTGGCCTAAATGAATTCAAAACATCATAGTGGAAATTGTGATTCCTGCAGGTTCCAAAAAGCATTTGTTGCAAAAAGGAAATTGTTGTCAATCCACGATTGGCTAGTTTGTAAATATTCTAAATGCATGCACAGCTCTGAATTTTGAACGTTTGAAATGTATAATAATTGGTGTGCCATCATCATTTTGGCAATGAGCCACTGGTGCTTACGGTGCTGGGATGAGCTAATCATTTCTAAGCTGGTGCTTTTCAAGTTTTGGCTGGTTTGGGAGCAACAGCAAGTTAACTACAAAATGTGTTCTCATGGTCTCGTCTGAAAAACTGGATCGGGAGGATGTGAATACTTAACTACCTTAACAGGGTTCCTACCATGCAATGCTGGCTGCGATGTTGGGAAAGGAGCTCTGTCGAGACTGAGGCTGCATCTGCTCTCCGGTTCTGCAGAGCAGCTCACATAGGCTCCATTACTCTTTTAAGTGACGTCTTCAATATGCCTATCAAGGCCCCTCACATTCAGAGTAGTTGAGACCAAGACGTTTCCTTTATCTGTGGCCTGAAAAATAGCATAGTCAAAAAAGAAAATAGTTAAGAAAAAGTTTTGGTGTTCACAAGGAGGAGAACAGTACTTCATTCTGTTTCTAACAGAAAGAGTCACTAATCATAGTGGCACACGGTGTCGCACTGACTACTTACCAGAAAGGCAGTGGAAGGTTCTGTTGCATGGTACACTAACAGCTTGGGACATGGCATATAATGAAATAATTAAAAGGCCCATTAGACTATATAACAATAAGCTCCAGCTTAATGGTTATTGGTTCAACAATCATTAATACCCAGAACACAAAATCTTCCTACCTGAGTTTAAGGAGTAAATTTGCTGAGTGGAACAATCTGCAAAGCTTTACACAGGTTGGGGGGGAAGAAAAGAGACACAGGCATCAAGGCCTTCAACCTAGGAAAAAAATAGAAGTAGTTTATTTTGTAAGGTCACTATGCTCTGATAGACATTAACTTCAGGGAGACTTAGTAAGAACACAGCTGACAGTGAATCTGTCATTTCTGAATCTAATGTTTTCCAGTCTATTAAGTAAGACACTTTTTGTAATGTGAATTGCCAAGAAGATTCTCATGCCTTTTGTAAACAGAAACTAACCTAAGCTGCCAGCTTTGATGAAAGCAAGCATCCTAGTCACAATAACAGGCATGTTATCTATTTAACTATACATTTACTAGAAGAGAAAGGGAGGTTGAAAGCATTTAGTCCACTCCCATCAGCACCAGCTGCTGCTGTTCTGTCAGCCTTCAGATCTCATGATGTTGTTTAAAGCACTACCATCCCTCACCGCTACCAAATTAGAGGCTTTCAAACTTTATGTACATAATTGCAGAGAGCTATGCTACACCATGTGAGGGTCATAACTGCAACATTAGGCCATTTTTTGCAGAGAGGATGGTTTTACTTCACTTTTTTTCTGAGGCAGAAGTAAAAATAGAGAGAATAGTTCTTTTTCACTCTGTTTTAGCCTATGCTAGATTATATGGCTTTTTAAGTTGCATCTGCTGCCTTTCTACTGCGTGGATGCTATCCCTTGTGCATGCTACTAGTGTATGTACCAGTGCTTATAACCCCCAGTCCTCATGCTTTTCTTTGACTTTATATAGGTATGTTTATGTTTAAAGCTAGTTAATTGGTCTGAAATGTTATTTATTCTTGTCTAAATCTTTCAAATCTGTAAATGAAGTCTGAGTTATTTTGCTCTATACTTTTTGGTTTTTTGTTTTGTTTCTATCTGCAGAGGGAACTGCTGGAGGCTTAACTTGGCTTAACTTTTCTCCCATGGTGGCCTACAGGGTTTTAAATATCACCAGTTTTGTTTGTAGCCTGGCTATGTAAAGCCTTTTTTCACTTTGGAATCAATAATTTGGTGACTGGATTCAGTGACCCAGCCAATCCCTTGGAGTCGCATATCTTCAAGCACTAGGAAAGGCCAAACCGCGCTTAGACCGGACTAACCTTAACTGCCGTCAGTTCAGAGAACAGTGACTTTAAGTGAGTCCTAGCTCTTTCCCTGGAATCTCCAAAATCTGCAGATTTCTATTCTGTTCAGTATCCGGAAAGCCTTGTGGAAGAACTCCTGCTTGTAATGCTTTGAACAGCCTTCAGTTCTTCTCCTATGTCTCCAGCAGGGGACCTGCTTTTCAAAGGCAGCTTGGCCTACTGGCACGGACCAGCCCCTTCAAGGTCTTGCTGTTGCTTTCTTTTCTATTATCTTACCCGACTGTGAAGCTCTGGTATTTTTCTTGAGTCGTACCCTGAATGCATGGAACATTTCCCGCAGGTTTATAAAACTGCTATCCTGGAAAGTTCTTCCAGTAAAAGCTGCTCATTTCAACCAATGGCAGAGTGCAAGTGCACTCTAGAAATTTGCAAAGTTGTAGAATATATTGGGACGATAATAGGGACAAGAATTACTATAACGGTATCAGATGTAAAACCAGCAGTTTCGACAGTGATATGGCAGGAGCATCACTGAAATTCGTGGCTCAGGAACTAAACTCACCCTCTGCCACCACCCGCAACAAATGAGTACAGATGGAGAAGCTGGCTGTTTTCCATCAATAGTGAGTAACCCATTTTTCTGTGCTGATTGATTTGGCCTGGGCTGTTGCTGTCTTACTCTTTTTTTTCATGCTATTGCTGGCAGAAAGGTCTTCTCTACTAACAACAAGTTTGTCTAGTCTTGGCATTAAGCTTAATATTGAATGACAATTTAATACTTCCTCTTCCAAGTCTTGCTGACCTTTAGTTTTGTGGCAGATAATTTCTAATGTGTGTATATGAAAATATTTTAATCACCTAGCTTTTAAAAATTAGATTCAGAGGAATCATTAGTTCAGCACAAAAACGTACAATATTTTTTTTTCCACTATTAGAAGCCTCTATACTGAGCTTAACTGTTGCATGTGAGGAAATGGAAGTTCAGTGCACAAACAATACCCGATTTGCAAGTTGCAGGTACACCTTCTGATGAAACTTTAAGCAGTAGTGAGGAGCTTATTCTTCCTTCAGCTTTCTCAGCAACAGAGCAAAACAGAAGTTACTTGATTTCCTTTTTGGAATGCCCACCTATAAATTGAAAGTCTTCACTGAATAAGCTACACAAAAAAGTTTAGTTAGTAGAAGAGGGTTATCCTGAACTGATCTAGGACTGAGTAAGGCATATAACAGGTTGTATTATGCGTATCTTTTTATGACTTGAAATGTCACTTCATCATACTTCCTAACAATTCGGTTAGAGATTCAGTTTTGCTTTTAATCAGCACTGACTTTGAAAGCGCTCCTGCTCACGTATTTTCATTATTAATTCTAATTACCATAAATTCCTGCTGTAGTAGGAAGTGAGATTTTAAAATCTATGGAAATCTTTTCTTACCATTCTTCCAGCTTCCCGTAAATCTTAAAATACAAACCATTCAAAGTAGAAGTGAGACTGTAGACTGCACAAATAGCTATTTTCTAAATTATTTCATAGTAAGTAAAATCCTGCTGATATAAACACTGGCACTACTAAGAGGATGGAAAGATAAAAAATAATTCTATACTAATATTAACAGCAGAGTTTCATCTAACCACAGACTTTTCTTTTTTTTAATCTCATGTTGTCTGGGAAGCAGTAGTTATTATGATTCTGGTCTTGGATATTTGTTTAAATCCCTTGGTTCTAGTTAGCCAAGGGGAACTTTCCTTGACTGTGTACAGTCCCTCTTGGTAGCATGAGCCGAGGCAGGGCCTGCACTGAGGTGATCCAGTGTGGCTCTGCTGCTCTCCCTCACCTGGCTCAGGTCAAGTGGCAACTTAACCGTTTTGTGTGACTGGAGCCCTCATCACTGATGGAAAACACATGATTTGGTGGGTTTTTTTTTTTGCTCTCCTCAAATTTAAGTAATCTTGTAGCAGCAGTGCTCTTGGCAGTAACACCTTTACACTCGAGAGCTGTGCTCCAGAGGTGCTCCTGTGCTTATGGTTCGGGCCTAACAGGTGCCTTCCAGCATCCCTGCCACGTACCTTCCCTCAGGCCCTCCCCTCGCCCCCGTCCTCAGCCCTGGCGGGGTCCCGCGGGGCCGTGGCCTGCACACGCTCAGCCCGACGCCCTTTACAGGCCCTCACCGTGCTTCCAGCCGCCGAGAGCCGGGGAGGAAGATGGTTGGAGATGCCACCGGGCAGGTTTCAAGGCGCTGGGAAAGCCGGCGAGCCCCCGGGTGAGCGGGGCCGCCCCTCCTCATCTCCCGCGGGGCTCCTCCGCCGGGGACCCCGCGGTTCCCCCTCAGGGCGGCGGTGCGGAAAGGGGGCCGACCGCCGCGCTCCGCCGCCGCCCGGGGTCCGGCGGGCCCAACCGCGGCTCCTCTCAGCGGCGCGGGGCGAGCGGCCGGGGCCGGCAGCGGCGCCCGCCTCTGCCTCCTCCCCCTCGGTGCCCTGCCTCCTCCCCCCGCCGGGCGGCCGGCTGCGCGGGGAGGGAGGGAGAGAGAGAGAGAGAGAGGGGAGAAAAAGTGCTGCGCTGTGTGGATTATTGTGTGTTTGTCATCTGGAATGGTATAAGCTGTAGGTACAGCATCTCCCAGCGGTGATTTATGGCCCCTGTCAGGCAGCACCAGCGCTTTGTCTGCTGTAGCGTGGAGGATGAATGCGGCGCTGTCAGCCCGGGCAGGGCACTCTTTCTCTCGCTCTGCTCCCCGACTC